GTGTGTGTGTGTGCGCCCACAGCCCTGTGTGTGTGCGCCCACAGCCCTGCTGAATCGGTGCTGCACAACTGTGCACGCTGCACACACATCGTGCGCAACAAGTACGTAAATAACATGCTATCCTCTTTGTGACAAATGCTACAGAAGCAATTTTTCGCCTCTTTCGAAGTGAACTGATCACCGCTTCACGATCGCTTGGAATCCGGACTGCAGACCATGAACGTCGCGTGGCGTCAATTTCATTATTATCTTACGAAACTAAGGCAGGTCAAAAAATTCTCTCGTGCTAATCTTGTGGACGCTGGACAAGGTTTCCAGCAGGTACAGCTCCCCACCAATAGATGGAGCAGCCAGGGACAGCTACTAGAGGCGGCTGCTCTTATCACCCCCTCTAGTAGTGGTCGCTGGTGATTAAAAAAAAAAAAAAAAAAAGGCAGGTGAAAGCCACTTCTGTCAGCTCGTTTCCGAGTCCTCCTTGGTCCAGTATAATTCACAATAAACACTCTTAAACTTCATCGACTACCGTCTTCACCCGAATAGAACGCCTGGTCATTATAGCGGTATCTGGAGTGAAAATTGCACCAAATACGGCTATATTGACCGGGCGTTCTATTCGGGTAAAGACAGTAGGTACCCTTGCCTTCCTACAAAGTCGTCTACGCAGTGTACACACCCATGCAGGAAAAAGAAAGAAAGAAAAAAAAAAGAAAGGAAAAAAAAAAAAGAAAGAAAGAAAGAAAGAGAAGCAAAAGCAATTGCCACGGGCACTGACATGAAATGTGTGCTCAGTGAGCAATGGATGCAATGCTATGAAATGTTACAGAGAAAGTTTTCCCCCTTTCAAAGGGAAAAAAGAGAGAGAGAGGGGGAGGGAGGGAGGGAGGGAGACAGAGGTGAATGAGGTATGAAAAGCTTCTCAAAACAACATAGAGACTTGGACTCAAGCGCGTAGATAATAACAAAGTGGTGGTTGAAACAGGGTCCAAAAAAACTCAACTCATTTGTTTGAAACATGAACCGGAAGTAAAAAGGAAAATTGGCATTTTGATTGCGTCACTCAGAGGGTTCCAGCATATATAACCAGATTGTGTATTTTCTTTGATGCTACGAGATGATACTCGAAGAGCGGTCATTTTCTGGGAAGCATACCCTGCTGCCCTTCGGCTTTCTGCACTTGGAAGAAAACGAGAGAGAGAGAGACAGAGAGAGAGGTTTCTTAGACATTTATGGCACGTCGTATTGTGCTCTCCCACCTTGAAAAGAAGACACAAAGGAATAGAGAATGTCTATTTCTGAAAGGCAACAGCTATGAAACTCACCTTTCCAGACTCGGAAACGTCGCCTCGGGTAGTACGTATTTTCCATTTCCCCTCAGCTTGAGTTTGTCTCGTCTATGTCCAAGCCTTTCATCAAGTTTGGGGTCGAGTTTCCCCACCCAGAAGTTCGCCATGTTACTCTGTCCAGCATGCCCAAAAAAAAAAAAAAAAAAAAGAGCATGCAAACGCACGCCACAGGAACATACACCAAGGAATACAGTCAGTCCCTGCGTTACCAGACGGGGGCGCCCAGGTCACCTTGGTAGCTCGGCCAGCAGCCCGGTCGCGCAAGGGCCAGGGAAGGTCCCTGCAAAGGGGGAGGGAGAGGGGGGGGGGGACATCCAAAAAATCCAAAAAAAGAACATGTTGTGCAGAAAAATAAACTGGACTACGTTTGTCTCAGGGTCACATCAAAAAAAAATTTGTCTTTTTCTTCTTTTTTTTCTTTTTGCCTTTTTCTTTTCTGGCCCGGCCGGGCAAGCGATCCCAGGCCGCTCGGGTAACCTATAGGTCAGTCGAGCAAAACCCTGCAGAATCCTTCATTCCAAATCTTGAACTCTACAGCCGACAGGATAAAGACGAGGAACGCAGAAAGGAAACCAAGCTCAGGAAACACATCTCATGAAAATTTGGTTTCGGCAGTGTCCACAGCAATTCGGAGATGTCAGAATTAATGCACTTGTGCCTGGAGGGCCGTGGAGGCTCGAAAGAGTCGAGAGTCAGTCAAGTACAAAATACAGGTAGGTCCTGCAATATCATGAAGGGTAGGGTTTAGGGTTTAGGTTTTAGGGTTTTGTCCACACAGGAGACACTCATGCTAAAGTTATCCTTCCTAGCGTTTTCACCCGAATGTAACACCCTGTCATTACAGCTGTATTTGGGCACTTTTCAGTCCAGGTGCAGCGATAATCATCGGGCATTCTATTCGGGTGAAGACGGTAGCTCTTAGTTTGCAATTCACACTGGAGAGAGAGCATCATGCAAGAAGAGCAAGCCGACGACTGCGTACAGCTTGGCACAAAACTGTCACCAACATCGTCAAAACGGCTCTGTGCACTAACTGTTTGCATCATAATCATGACTGCAACACATGGCCAAGACCATTATGTGTGTCTGCCGACCGCCTTCCCCCGAATACAACGCCCGGTCATAATAGTGACAACTTTCCCTCTGCATACGGCAATACTGACTGGGCGTTCTATTCGGGGGTGAAGACGGTAGTGGCTACGAGCAAGGCCGCACTGGTGCTATATTTTCACTTTCACCAAGCATTTCAACCAGTTGGGCCCCAACAGTAGGTCAGCCGGACAGTACAGTAATTTATCCCACCAGTTGGCCCCAACTGGGGGCATTTGAACCAGGGACATGCTAACATAGGAAAAAATAAACATAGAGCACCAGTTGGGCCCAACGTTAGATGGGCCGGACAGTACAGTAACTTGTCCACACGTTATAAGGGACAGTACAGTAATTTATCCACACGTGATAATTTATCCCTGTCCCCCCAAAGGGACAGAGATTGGGTGATCATGCCCCCAACCTACTTTTTTTTTTCCCCCAAAAAAGTTGAAGGCGTTTTTCTTTTTTTCCTTTTTTTTCCTTTTTTTTCCTTTTTTTTCCTTTTTTTTCCTTTTTTTTCCTTTTTTTTCCCTTAAAGCTGCCATCATAGTTTCAACTGCCTGTGGAGCAATATCACTTCTTCAAGGCAGTTCAGCCTCATAGGGGGACTTTTTGGCCATCGCTTATATCAATGTTGTGCACATCTCCTTACACAGTGCGTGCCTGAATCTGCAGATTGCATAGTTACCGCAGACGACTGCAAACACAATCTTCATCAGCAGGAGAGTGCTGGATTGACTCAAGTCAAGCTGCATTGAAGGTGAAGACGTCTGCTGGAGTAATGCAGCGAGGAGAAATGTGCCACAGCGGAATAGGAGGCATACCATCAGCAGGCAGTCCAAAGGGAGATTCACACACACACACACACACACACACACACACACACACACACACACACACACACACACACACACACACACACACACACACAC